GACCTAGTCACGGTCACACCTGCACACGGGCCCTCTGACCTAGTCACGGTCAAACCTGGACACGGACCCCCTGATACGGTCACGGCTACACCTGGACACGGACCCTCTGACCTAGTCACGGTCGCACCTGGACACGGGCCCTCTGACCTGGTCACGGTCAAACCTGGACACGGACCCCCTGACACAGTCACGGCTACACCTGGACACGGACCCTCTGACCTAGTCACGGTCAAACCTGCACAAGGCACAACTGGACACAGTCTGCAGACCTGATCTGGCCACGTCACACCTGGACACGGACCCTCTGACCTAGACATGGTCAAACCTGCACAAGGCACAACCGGACACAGTCTGCAGACCTGACCTAGTCACGGTCACACCTGGACACGGACCCTCTGCCCTAGTCACGGTCAAACCTGCACAAGGCACAACCGGACACAGTCTGCAGACCTGATCTGGCCACGTCACGACTAGATACGGCCAAACCTGGACGTAGGCGTGATCAAGATCAATAATGCTGATCTGAGTCTGGCCACAACAAGACAGACCTGAGCACGGTCACAAGCTGTCACGGATACAACTGGACATGGCCACGACCGGAAACAGCCACATCCAGGACGCGTTCACAACTGGACACTGCACAACTACACATGATCGCGCATACGGGCACGGTAGGGCACGCATACATCAGCACATGGCTGACGTCTTGACCTAAACACATCTTTCCAGAATTTCCGGACATTTAGTCGAGCTCTATGTGAATTCACTGAAGCCAAGCGGAGAGCAAACGTGAGGCGCATGTCTCCTGGACTCCTCCTAGACACATGCAGTAACAGTTACCGTCCGACGGTGCCCAGCGTCCTGACCGCCGGCGCAGCTTGCACTGCTTCGGCGGGGTCACTCACCCGAGCGCAGTACGGTGTCCTGTTCCGGCCGCTAATGCCGGCAGGCGACGGCGAATCAGCGGATAATGGTCGAACCTCGCAGGACAGCCGTCCATTACTGGGAAATCGCCCATCTGATAACAGCTCCGTCAGCCGCGGGTAAACGTCCTTCGTTCGGCCGTCAGCCGTTCTAGTCCCTAGATAGAGTCAGTGCGACCGTGACCATAAATGGCGTGGTGGGTCTAGTTTAGTCTAGTTTTACTCTAGACTGGAGCGAATTGTCACACGCCGCTGAAGTAGTTTTATCGAAATGTACGCCAATCATCAGCTTGGTTACTATGACATTGCTGGGCTCCAGTCTAGACTGGAGCGAATTGTCATACACTGCTGAAGTAGTTCTATCGAAATGTACAGCGATCATCAGCTTGGTTACTTTGACATTGCTAGGCTAAATATAAAGCATATGAACGCAAATTCTTTGCCAAGCGTCCACTTAGGACATGCACGCCATCATCCCATTTGGGGTGGTCATTTGAGCTTGCATCGACGCATTTTGATACATTTGTTAGGTTTATTGTCGACGTCATCTAAACAGCGTGTCAACTGAGTTGCTGTTTCAGGACCCCAGAAAGTATCTAATGAAATGGACTCTTTTGTATATGCCATCAGTGACATCATCCTCCACGGCCAGCTTTGCATTCGCGAGGTACGAACAGAGCTGTGGTCGTCGAAGTCTCCGTAAGATGAAGTAGAATGGTCGAGGCTTATCGCTGACGAGACGCTGCACGAAATGATAACGCCCGCAGCTGCCACTCTCCTGTATCCCCCATGACTGACAAGTATCCCCCATGCTGATCCAGCATGGAGGATACTTGTCTGCACAAGTTGACTCCCACACAAGGCGCTGAAAAAGCGGAAATTCCGCATCCCTCGACTTACTGTTCAGGTAAAGCTCTAACTAGAACAATGGTTCTACAGCTGCTGCCCGCAGTTATACAACTGTAGTTCTGTAGCTGCCCGTGGCTCCCTGTTCCGGTGACGTGTAGCCCTCGTTTTCTATCCATATACCTGGGCTCGGTTCTACAGCTGCTACCCGCAGCTGTATAACTGTAGCTCTGTAGCTGCCCGTGGCTCCCTGTTCCGGTCACGTGTAGCCCTCGTTTTCTACCCATGTAGCTGGGCTCGGTATTCACACCTCTTGGCGCCTGCCCAGATCTGACGCTGGACCGAGCGTCGCCGACGTCACCGCCCATCTCGCCGCCTCGGTCGGTCACGCTGCGTCGGCGCTCGGTCTGCCGGTCAGGGATGGCCGGTGGCGGCCGTCCTGCGGCGGCAGTGGCCCAGCTGACCTCTGCCCACTGACCGTCACCAGGTGAGCCGCTTCACTGGCGGCCCGAGATCAGTCCCACATTCAGCGTCAGACCCCGAAACGGTCGCCTCGAGGGCACTCAAGCATACTGGGTTCTGGCGCGGTCTTCTTGGCCGTCTCGCGGCAGGGCAGGTTTTTGACGGCCGTAGCGACGCCAGTGACGAGGGAACTGGGGCGGTGAACTTGTCGAGGCGAGCCCCTTTCAGTCGTAAACGTGGGGGACTAAAGCTGCCGACAAGGAGGCTGGTGACGCGACTATCGCGCCCGTCACACCGCATCATCCATCCATGAACGGGCAAGTGCGCTGAGTCAGAAGCCGGGTCACGTGTCTGGCATGGCGGGGATCCGGCCGGAGCTTTGATCGCTTGGCGCAGGTCAGAATTTTGTTGTATGGTCGCCATGGTGATAAACTGGGACGACCGTGATTTTAGGCACGATGATCTCTGTCGATGTAACTAGCGCGCTGAGGTCATGTATATGTCGCATTGTTAAGCACAAATCGAAGAAATCCTGGGCTAGTACAGTTATGGACGTGCGCTAGAGCACGCAGGCGTCTAGACGTTGATAAGTACCTGTTGAAATACATTCCGATCTGTCATTATCTTGTGTCCACAACCCCAGTAATAATGAGGTGAATCAAACGGGAAACGATATATACAGACGGAGGCAGACAAGAACTCGTTCTGAATCTAGGACGGCCAAGTTCATCGGCAATCTAACAGCGCGCCATGGCCTGCCAGTTCGGTAGGCGACGACAATCTCATACACCAATGTCCACGAAGTCGCGATTGGTCACGGCTCCAGGAATCCCAAAAATCAAGTTGTTTTCTGGCGAGCAAGGCAAAGGAAAGAATTGGAATTTCAAACCCAAGCAGTGTCAATAACGTCCAAATGCCCTCGAGCTTGAATAACGTGCGTCGGATGTCCATTTCATCGGGTTTGTAAAAGGTGAAGCATGACACCGGGTGGTGACACGCCGGGACGGCGCCAATGCCATTGCGCGTGACAGTCGAGCCGCCCCCATCCCAGCCCGGGGGGCCCGGCAGCGGGCTGCTCGAGGTTCGCTGCCAGGATCCGGGCCCGCTACCGGGCTATGCGGTCCGCTGCCGGGCCTCTGGGGACCGCTGCCGGGCCTCTGGGGACCGCTGCCGGGCCTCTGGGGACCGCTGCCGGGCCTCTGGGGACCGCTGCCGGGCCTCTGGGGACCGCTGCCGGGCCTCTGGGGACCGCTGCCGGGCCTCTGGGGACCGCTGCCGAGCCTCTGGGGACCGCTGCCGGGCCTCTGGGGACCGCTGCCGGGCTCCGGGGCGCGCTGGCGGGGCTGACGCGGCCGGAGCCGGGCACGTCTCCCGGTGGGCCGCACCGGTCCGGCCGGAAGCCGCTGGACGCGGGGTGCGGGTCAGGTCGGCGCCGGAGTCGGCACTTCCGCAGACTGGGTTTTTGCCGGCAGTGATCGACGGGAAGGACCGGTCCAGTGACGCCGTGAGGTGCCGGTCGCCTGTTCCGCTCCTCTTCTTTGGGAGGTTCTTGCCAGGGCACATGGTGGTGCACGGCCATGAATATCAGACGTCGGGCCGATGGGTACAGGCACCCAGTTTGTGTGTAGCCAATTCGCTGCACATGAGTACTGCACGACCCATCGGCGACCTTTGGGAAAAAGAACTCCACAGCTCCTTTGTGCAGTCCTTGACAACATATTGGCGAGCGCTCGGACATCGCGCACGCATCGTTCATGTTCTTTCCGACAGCCACCACCATTCGGCTCAGTTATTCGCCACGTGGCTGTGTAGCGATGCATCGCACGAAAGCGGGAAGCGGCAGTCTGTCGTCGCCCGCCTTTCATTCGCCCTCTGACGACAGCACACAGCTACAGGTCAGTCGCGGGCCGGCGCCGCGAACTCAGCTGGCGACCCTGGAATCGGTGCCCACCAGCAGCGGCGCACCTAATTTGGCCGTCAGAGTTGACGTGCGATCGGTCCGTGGGGTGCCCGGTCGGAAACGGAGGCCAGTAATGGGCCGGGGGCGTTGGCCTAGGTGGAGTGCGAGCCGGGGTGAGCTGGGCTCGGGGCAGGATGCGAGCCAGCCGCGGTGTGGCCAGACAGGTCTTTCGCGGGACCGAGGTGGTCCGCTACGATCGGCGGTGCTCAATACACTCCGTCCGTGCCCTTGGTTTGACCCGTGAGACTCAGCGCCGTCCCTGACGGCGGACGTAGCATGCCCCTGTACCCCTGATGCAGCTTGTTGTTTCCTTGTCCCCGAATGGCAAAGCTGCGACCACAAACCCGGTGTATGGCTGCGTTTCGTGTCACGCTTGCACCATGTCCGGCCTGGCTACGTCCCAGCACTGTCGAGACCATCTGTAAGTGTGTGACATGGTGTGATCTGTCGTACCTGTGACACCCGTGACACTGTTGGCTGCCCGGCTGCCCCGGTCGCTGAGCATGGTCAGCACGTGCGGCCGCGCGGTAGCTCCTCTCCAGGTCACGTCGACACGCTCTCAGTAAAAACAACCATGCTTGCAGATTAACATTGGGGTGTGATGTTTCGCTAGCACGGGCGTATGCAGGAAATCGCGATGGGGGCACAACCAAACAACCGGAACAACCGGGAACCCAATGATGGTGCATCGCAGGCGCGTTACATTTATTGCATGGCGCGAGACGACACGTGTTTTAAATGCACTCATTTGGATGTTTCTACTGTGACTTTATTATTGCATGCAAACTTATCATAAGGTGACACGTGCTGGTCTCTGGCGCCCTCAGAACACAGCCAGCTCCTTGCCAACGTCTGTTCAGCAAGCCTGCAGGAGGCCGGATGAAAACGGCCTCTGGTACGAACCAGTCGACGCAGGCCATTCGCAGCCGGAGCTCACGGCCAATAATAATACCAACCCGTCCTTTACCAAGTTTTGTTCCGCAGCGTATTTGTGTGTCTCGTCCCGACTCTTGGAGCTATTCCAAAGCCATGGACAGTGCCATCGCAGTACGTCTCTGCCAAATTATCGGCAAGTCCCGCACGCACCACCGGTCACGACCCCGCCCCGCCCCGGTGCCCTTTCGTGGCGCGCACGTCACGAGCGGGCGCCGTACGCCACGCACGCGTCTACGCAATACAAGCGCGGCAGGAAGCCCGCAAATCCTTTCTCAAGAAACGGTTTAATAGCAGTCCGTTTGCAACGAAGCATTGATTGATAGGTACACTAGTAATGTAAAGTATGTTGTAGTGTTTCAGCCCGGACACACTCGCGGCTGTGACTCGCGGGGCGGAACGAGCCGCTGGCGTTACATCTGAAGGATCTTTGCCTGCCAGGCTTTGCCCACCAAGCTGAGATTTCTTGAGAGAGTCCCCTGGGTTGAAGTTCAAGTCAGTGCGAACTTTGCGAAGAAGGCGGCAGGCTCAATATGAAGCGCGCACACTGTTGTCAATATGTTTTTGCAGCAAATATTCTAAATATGCAAACGTTCCATCCCATGTCTAGGTTTCATTGTTGCTCACAGCAGGCGCAGTTTGGAGGCAGTGGAAGAACAACGGCAACGTATATGGTAAGCGATAATCTGAACTGGGATAGTGCTCAGTTACTCCTTTTGTAGTTTAGACGGACCTACGTGCTCCACTAGACTATCACTTCACACCTTCAGTGTTCCATTCAAGTGACTTAAAACCGGACCGTTTTAATACATGGTGGCCTTGGGTCAGGTCTGAGGTTGCAGCGGACGCAAAACATGGCGGTGGTAGAGTTTCAGCTCCAGGCCCGCTAACGGCTCTGATCATCGCGACATCACATTAAAAGCTCTGAACACCCAAAATGCGATTCCAGAACGCGTTCCGGGAAAGTGACGTTACTTTGGGTCAGATTTAATCGCGACGGAGGCCAACAATCACATGTTTTGCTTACAGCCACCGAGCGCTCAGAGCCCAGCGCGTCTGTCGCCACAAAAGCGTGCGTGCCGTCCCCGGACAGGTAGCTTCCCACATCTTCTGTTCCATCACTGTCGACAACACTGGTAATGAGCATGTGATTTGTATGCTGACATCACAGTCACTGATGAAAACGCACATGAGACCAAATGAGCCATAAAAACAGCTTCACCATACGCGGCGGGCAATCCATCACGTTCAACACGGTGCGGTCAGCATCGCTTTAGACAACATCGAGCCCGTTATCAAGAGGAGCTATCCATATGCAGCACCCCAATTTCAATAATGAGCGTGTGGATCGATCCATTCCAAGCAGTGCGAAGCCACCGACTCGAAGCAGCCCGCTGCCAACGGAAACGCCGCACAACACGGGCTGAACCAGCCGGGGTGATGCCCGGCCCGGAGAACCGCGCCGCGATGCTTGTAACGCAGCGCCAGCGCCGGCCCGGCGCGCTCCGATCACCGCCCGGCCCGCTGCGGCGCCGGTGACGTCACACGAGCTGCCCCGGGGCCAGCGGCCGCCTGAGCGTCGCGCAGTCCTGGTCACCAGGCGACCAGCGCGGACGGCGTCATTACTGGACGGGGCGGACCGCCGACCGACCGCGCGGCCCGTCCCGGCCCAGCCCCGACGCCAGCGCCTCGGCCAGGCGTCACTCGATGATCCAGAGCATGTTGAGCCCGGTCGGACCGATGTGGATCTTGTCCAGCATCGAGTCGTGCTTGTGCCGCACTATGTACAGGAACAGCAGCAGCGTGTGGAACAGGTTGTTCCGCCCCTGCAACGCCGAAGGCGTCATCAGCAGCCGTCACGCCTCTGGCGTTTTCAGCGATAGGCTGGCCGCGGATGACATCACACCACACTCCACTCTCCATTGGTGGATCGGTTCGGTTCAAAACTCCACACAGCAAGGACATCCTAACGGGAAAGGTGACGACCGTTGCTAATTGCCGCGCTAAGAGAACTGGGCACGCTCGGTACTCCACGCCCCGCCATTAACTGGCTCGTCTCAGTCAGGTCAACTCGCCGACTTCCCAAGTCCCCCCACCCCCACAACAACGGCAGCAACAGCGTGCAGACCTCACCTTGACCACCTGGTGCGTCTTCCCCAGGGCAGCAACGGCATGCAGACCTCACCTTGGCCAGCTGGTGCGTCTTCCCTAGGGCAGCAGCAGCATGAAGACCTCACCTTGGCCGGCTGGTGCGTCTTCCACAGGGCAGCAGCAGCATGAAGACCTCACCTTGGCCGCCTGGTGCGTCTTCCACAGGGCAGCAACAGCATGCAGACCTATCCTTGGCCAGCTGGTGCGTCTCCCCCAGGGCAGCAGCAGCGTGCAGTAGACCTCACCCTGGCCAGCTGGTGCGTCTTCCCTAGGGCAGCAGCAGCATGCAGTAGACCTCACCCTGGCCACCTGATGCGTCTTCCACAGGGCAGCAGCAGCATGCAGTAGACCTCACCCTGGCCAGCTGGTGCGTCTTCCACAGGGCAGCAACAGCATGCAGACCTCACCCTGGCCAGCTGGTGCGTCTTCCTCAGGGCAGCAGCATGCAGTAAACCTCACCCTGGCCACCTGATGCGTCTTCCACAGGGCAGCAGCAGCATGCAGTAGACCTCACCCTGGCCAGCTGGTGCGTCTTCCACAGGGCAGCAACAGCATGCAGACCTCACCTTGGCCAGCTGGTGCGTCTCCTGGCCGCTGACCAGTGAGAAGCGCGGCGGTGTGATCTCGGTCTGGTGAATGACCAGCCGATGTCGGCCGGCCGCCGGCTCGTCCGGTGCCCGGCACACGTGCTCGTTTGTGAAGGTGCGCCCGTCAGGGTGCGACGGGTGCGGCGGCAGGCGGGCGTCCATGTAGGCCGCCAGCAGATGCATCACCAGCTGTCGGCCCCGGTCAGCAACGGCGTGACGGGAGGAGGGCGTCACATGGGGGACACACGCGGTCACACGGGCGGCGACGGGGGCCACGTCGGGTGGCGCTGGCAGACGCGGAGGACGGTGTCAGGGTCTCACTGGCAGGAACGGGAACGGGGGGGGGGGGGGGGGGCACGTGAGGCCGTGACACTGGCAGGAGAGGAGGCGTCGGAGCACGGCGACGCGCGTGGGGATCCCAGAGGCAGACACAGGGATACGCGAGGCCCGCTGGCGCACCTCCCGAACCCGTCACGGGGCCTGCTCACATGTGATCTTAACTGTGCCTCAAAACAAAAGCAGTTTTTAAATGGGCGCACTCGAGTCGGGTTGGAATAATTCTGGCATTGCGTGATCGCAACACTGCATGCAGTGGAATTACATTACAGCCCGTCCGTATTTTTTCTCCGTTTTTACTGCGTTGCGATTCGCTCCACTAAATAACTACGATCGTATACGGCTTAAGATGCATGGATCGGTGTTTGTAGCGCTTAGAGATCTAAATTTAAACCCTCAAACATCTATCCAACCTCTCATCATCTAAAATGTTTCATCCTGCACCCTCACGACGTCCCGCTCGTCCAGGGCAGGCTGCATAGGCCGGCGACCAGTGGGCCGAGTGGGCCCCTGGAGGGGACCCCGGCCGGGCGCCCAGTGCATACCCTGCGGGTGGGTCCCTGCGCGGGCTTAAGCTCGGCCCCCAAGTGCATGCGGTCCTGCCCCACCGTCATCCAGTCTCCTTCATCCCATAGCTCTGAAATGATCTTGCCTGGTCGAAAGAGCCCCAATCCCAATATCCAAACTACGAAAGCTGAAGTCAGTCGTATGAGTGAAACCCTAGATGGATTCCGAAGCGGCGGGCGCGGCCGGAGGTGCACAGAGGGGCGCGCGGGCGCGGTCGGCCGGCACCGTACCGCCGAGTCGGTGGGCAGGTGCTCCTCCCAGGCCTTGCCCCGGAGTGTGCCGCCGCCGTTCCAGCGGAACTCCTTCAGACAGCCGCCGCGGCTCAGCTCTGGAACAGGCGCAGACGCCGGCTCGTCACCGAGAGCTGCGCACCACGGCACAGCGATGGCTCACTGGTGCCTCAGAGGAATGGAACGCCACACATCCGAGGCACAGCGACGGCTCGCTGGTGCCTCAGAGGGATGGAACGCCACACATCCGAGGCACAGCGATGGCTCGCTGGTGCCCCAGAGGGATGGAACGCTACAGATCAGAGGCACAGCGATGGCTCGCTGGTGCCTCTGGGGGATGGAACGCCACACATCCGAGGCACAACGATGGCTCGCTGGTGCCCCAGAGGGATGGAACGCTACAGATCAGAGGCACAACGATGGCTCGCTGGTGCCTCAGAGGGATGGAACGCCACACATCCGAGGCACAGCAGCGATGGCTCGCTGGTGCTCCAGAGGGATGGAATGCAGCAGATCTGAGGCCTTCAGAACACTTTTTATCTTTCTGAGCCCCCTCCCTCTTCCCCCTGGCAAACACCGAGTTCACAAAGCTTTATCTTTCTGAGTCCCCCTCCCCCCTCCCCTGGCAAACACCGAGTTCATAAACCTGTCAACGTGATGCATAGATGGACTGAGGGCTTAGAAAAGCGAATATTGTGCTTTTGGCCTCAGATTTGATAACGTCCATCTGGTTTGCACCAAAACAGGTCGTCGACATAAGAAATGAGCAGAGTTAAGCGCTGGCCCCAGCTGTAATGCGACTTCCTGCATCCGGTATGCCAGAAGACCCCAACATATCCCCTAGTTACTGCCTCTATCGTCTAATTCGGAAGACCCGGTGCGCCGCACACGCCCCGCTCAGTGACGACCCCCGGTACACCAAGTGCGTGACGTCACCATGCACCTCACACCTTGACCAGGACGTACCTCGTATGCGAAACACTACGTACTCCTGGTGCGTGGAGACGGAGAGGAAATGGAGGACGGCGTTGAGCGTGGGCACGTCCCGCACCAGCTGGGACGTCTTCCTCAGCTTGTCCAGCCCCACCTCGCCTGTCGACAGAGGCGCCACCAGGGAGGTCAGCACAGGCATGGTCAGAGCTGGCATGGTCAGAGCTGGGCTGGTCAGAGCTGGGATGGTCAGAACTCGAGTGGGGTGGTCAGTAATACAGCAATCCGAACTGGGGTGACCAGTACTAGGGCGGTCCGAAATATGGGCAGCATCCCCAACACAGCATTGCAAAAACACCGCGTTTGTGACATCTTATATAAACACTACGTCATCGACATCTACAACGCCGAGCCCCATCTTGATCAAATGACATCGATTTCGCGCCCGATATGTACACGGCATACCGCGCCGCGCACGGGCGACACGGGATCGCACCAAGCTGCCCGTGTGTACCAGAGAGGGTAAGGACCAGGGAAGGCCTCCCGCGTGCGCCATGAGGTGTCCACCCATCGATCTGCGCTTCCGGGAGGCCGTGCGTACCAAGGAGGGTAGGTGCTAGAGAAGGCCCCCGCGTGCGCGGCGGAGCGTCCACTCACCGATCCGCACCTAGGAGAGGCCGTGTGTACCGGAGAGGGCGGATGCCAGGACATGCTCCCGCGTGCGCGGCGGAGTGTCCACTCACCGATCTGCACCTCCGAGAGGCCGTGTGTACCGGAGAGGGAAGATGCCAGGATAGGCTCCCGCGTGCGCCACGGAGCGTCCACTCACCGATCTGCATCTCCGAGAGACCGTGTCTCCTCAGCGCGGCGTTCACCGAGTCGATCTCTTTCACGAGCCGCACCAGGATGGTCTGGCAGAGCCACTGGAACAGCGCCAGGCAGCGCGTGACCGTCAGCACGGTGACGTCACACTGGAGCTGCTCCTCACACGCCGCATGGGTCGGCGATCACACGCGGCACGCGCGGACGTGCCGGCCCTGTGCGCGGCCGGTGTCACGAGCATACATCCCTGGCGTGCGACCAGGCTACCAAAAATCGCATATCACGGCAAAAGGCGTCTCTGCTGGGGCAACGCCATGGTTCTCATTTGACCTTATCACGACGAATGCCGCGCCGCGGTCGTCGCCAGCGCCGCTCTGGGCGCCGTCACTCGCACCGCGTGCGAGACGTCACCGAACGGCTGGCGGCCGGCCGGGCACCCACCACGCGCACGTTCTCCGTCCAGCGGAAGAGCGTGTCGCGGCTGACGTCGAGGCGCGCCCAGGTGCGGTCCAGTGACGAGTGCAGTGCGCTCTCCGCCTTCTCGTCGGCGGCCGAGCCGTCGTCCGTCTCCGGCGGGTCGCGCACAGACAGCTGGCGGGCGAGGGGTGCGTCAGGTGGCGGCGCGCACCGCGACTCGCCGGAGCACGGCTGACAGCGGTCAAAGGGTGCACGCTCGAGAAGCGAGGCGCAGGGTCGTGACGATCACATGCACAGCTCGGAGTAAACCAGCGGTCCTGGAAACAGACTGACAGAGCATGCCAATGTCCGGTGATGCCCACATAACGCTGATGGTGTTCAGGGAGATCGTAATATCACGCTGGAGAGATCGTTAACACTGACATCCGAGACTAGTACCATTTAATCGATATCAGTGAACACTGAAGGTCACACATTAGCCCTATGGAGCAGGATTGTTGACCACGTTGCCCGGATTGGGGGTGACTGACGACATCCCAGCCTCGCATGCCAGTTGCCCAACGCTTACGAGTAACATCGTCGCTTCGCCGTCACTACGCCGCCGGGTCGGCTCTCCACAAGACTTCAGCACGCGCGCCCGGCAGCGCACAGGTAGCTCCGCCGACCTTTCGTCGTCAAATAACGCCACGGCCGGTGCCACGCCACTGACCTGGTACACGTGTTTCTGCGGTGAGTGCGTGAACAAGTCCGCCAGAGAGGAATTGCTGTGATTCCAGAAGCTCTGGCTCTGATTGGCTGACGCTTCCATCGACGCGTTCACTGAAAACAGCAGAGGTTGAAGTCTTGAAGGCTACAACATCCCCTGAACCCCCGTCATCAGACGTCAAGACATGCAATCGGTCCATAAACGCCCTGACACGCAGCACTTTTCGCATTCACACGATCTCACTTTGGTTGCTTGAAGTGTGCCGACCCCAAGGTGTCGACAACACCCATCGCATTTCAACGCGCCGGACGGTGAGCATCACGCAAGACGCACACCGGACAAGCGCGACTGACGAGGCCGACGCCGATCACACCAGCGCGCACCCCTGGCACCGTCCGCCCACATTAGCCGGCCGACTGCGAGCCGGGGCGCACGGGAGGGGGAGGGGACGGCACTCACGTGCGTTGCGTCGTCGCTCCGCCTCCTCGTACTGCGCCATGTACTGTCGGAAGCTGTCCTTGTCGGTGATCTCGATGGCCGGCCGGTTGACGGGCGTGCTGATACGGGGCCGGCCGACCGACGGCGGCGCCAGCGGCGACCGCTGCCGACACACGGGTCAGGGGGGAAACACAGGTCAGACACCGGCGACACATAGGTCAGAGGTCAGACAGAGGTCAGACGCTGCCGGGAAAGGGGTCAGAGGTCAGACACCGGAGACACATGACCACACGCGGGTCAGAAGTCAGACGCAGGTCAGACACCGGCGACACAGGGCGACACGTGGATCGGGGGTCAGACGGAGGTCAGACACTGCCGACACAGGGGTCAGAGGTCACGCACAGATCAGACGCCGACGCCATGCGGGTCAGAGGTCAGACGCTGCCGACACAACGCACACGGCCAGAGGTCCACACGTGCCATATGCCGGGGGCCACTACGCCCAGTAAGCATAGGACAGCCACATCAACATGCACGTGCTTCGGTTTGCACCAGCTACAACCGCTTCAACGCTGCGAAGTCAAAAACAGGAAGCGTGGCAAGATCAACTGGCAAACACACATCGGTTGCAACCGTCAGTAAATCTATATTTGCACGTGTAAATCTATATAGATTTTTTACGCCACTGCACCGAATCGAATTTTGCACGAATCCCAACAATTGCGCATTGCACAGAAAATATACTGAAATGACAGAACAATGAAGATGTTCTATTTTTCCGCACATATCGTCAGCACATCTTGTGATGGTGTAATTTTATGACTACACCCCGTCGCAAGACTGCTGTCGTTAGATCACATTGAAAACAGTATCCTAGCTGAAGATTACTTTGTGTGGACACTGACTCGTGCAACCGACTGGTCCAGACTGTGAGATGGTTATAGCATTACGTATTAGCCAAAAATACCACAAATATTTAAAGCATATGTAAGCCCCTAGTCCCAGGATGCCAGCCTGTGAAGAACGCATGTCCTCACTGTCGAGAATATGCGATGCATTTGGCGGTTATAACACTCACGTCACGTGAATGATTTGCCTCGACCTCCTCATGTCCGTCAGTCTCGCTGTAAGGCATGTCACACGCGCCGAGCGCTATACCTAGCCATATCATACCGCCATAGCGGCGATATGTAGTGCAGCGTTGAATTCACAAACCACAATAGAGCGCCACGCCTGCGGGTTGACGCTGAGGTGAGACCTCACTGAAGAATACCGCATCAATGTGCCCGGCTGCCTGAGACAAGCATGCCAAACTACCTGGGCGTACGGCGAGCCGCGCTGACCGTAGGGCGAGCCTAGCTGACCGTAGGGCGAGCTCTGCTGGCCGTAGGGCGAGCCTGGCTGACCGTAGGGCGAGCTCTGTTGGCCGTAGGGCGAGCCTGGCTGACCGAAGGGCGAGCCTGGCTGACCGTAGGGCGAGCTTTGTTGGCCGTAGGGCGAGCTCTGTTGGCCGTAAGGCGAGCCCTGTTGACCGTAGGGCGAGCCCTGTTGACCGTAGGGCGAGCCCTGTTGACCGTAGGGCGATCCCTGTTGACCGTAGGGCGAGCCGTGCTGGCCGTAAGGCGAGCCGTGCGTGGTCCAGCCGGCGCTGGCCGAGCCGTCCTGGTAGCCCCAGGAGGAGACGGAGGCGGAGAGGGCGCGGCTGCCGCCCACCTGGTCCGACCGGTCCAGCCAGCTCAGCGCCGAGAGGTCCATGGGCGTGGCGGGCGAGCCGCCGGCGCCGGTCGCGCTCCGGTCCGGCCGGGGCCGGCTGCCGATGGCCGGGTCTGGCCGCACCACCGAGCACGGACGCGCGTCAGAGGGTGCAGTGCCAGGCGGCGAGAGCGCTGGCGACGCTCAAAACGACGGGCCCGCTCCCAGTCGACGACAGAGCACCCCGGCCAAGGCCAAGAGCCCAGCCCCATTACGATAGCTTTGGAGGAGAAAGACGCCACTTGTGCAGTAGAATTAGCTTTGAAATTCTTGGCTCAAGTCAGCGAGCCATTTGGACCTGTAGATGACATTTGCATGCAGCTGCCCAACAATGCGTGATGCTGTTACTTGCATGTGTTTTATCCATTTCAAAGTTACCCAGGTGGTCACGTCTGGGACACCCTGGTCAGGGTTGACAAGATACCAAAAACTGCATCCACTCGCGGCGCATAAACAACAGTGTGAACGAGGAGCGGCGGGCTATGCACTGCCGTCCAAAACCAAAAGGGCCTCAGTGCCATCAGGTAAATAGTTCAGAAACATTTCACGTTTAGGAAATTAAGCATCCTCTTGGCACACACAAAGTTCACCCAAATTTTGAACTTAAAGGACACGTTACACACTTAAAGATATTGAAGCAAGCATCAGATATGATCAAACATGCTGACTAATAACTATTGGCAAACTTTTTAACTGGAAAAGACCGCTCTAGACAGCACAAATCTCTACATAGTAAATATGCTTCTCAATGCGTTATGGTTTGATTCCGTAATCGTTCCTTGCACATTGCACTGATTGAGAACCAATTGGCGGCCACTTTATCTGAGACAGCGCTCAAGAACGCCAGATGTGAACGCCTCGCCAATCATATTTTTCTTGGTCTTGATCGCCGCATGGCTTATGGAATGGCTGGGTTTGAATGTTGTTATTATGATGTCATGAATGCCAAGTTGACTTTGAAATATTCCCCACAATATGTCTTTTCTCTTTTCACGGGCGTGTACCTCAGAAACTAGAGGCGCTACCGTCTTAAGAAGGGCGGGATTGTGAGCAGCACCGAAAAGCATTCAATATGGCTATTTCAGTTCAAAGCCCTATATGAATTGAAGCCCCCCCCCCCCTAAGATCACATGGCATTACATTACAGCTTTTCGAGGTGCATCGAATAAGATAACGGCATTTCCAACAACAACAAAAATGGTGTGAAGGCCTTTTCATCTGAATGGCAGTGTAACCACACCCAGAGCACTTAAGTTCACCTATGCCCTTGATTTCAGTATGGGAGATGGCAAGCCTAGGAATCACACGAACTTGGTCGAGCACCACGGCGAGCGACGTCGCAGACGCCGGCCCGCACCTCCCCGCTCCCCTCCCCCCCCCCCCCCCCCGTCACCCTGCGGACCGCCTCCACCGGCGGGACGCGCGGCCGAGACGGACGCTCCAGCCCTCACCGTGCCGCCCCACGCTGAGCAGGCGCTTCTGCTCGTCCGTCAGGCTCAGCACGGCGCAGCCCAGGCCCGGGTACAGGTAGCGGGTCATGTGGACGGCCAGGTTAAGGCAGCTGATGACGAGCACGCCCAGCTCCAGCCGCCAGAGCAGCAGCAGTGGCACACCCAGCAGCTCGGAGGCCAGGTATGAGCCGTAGTACCTGTGTCAGGGACATACTGTCAGATGGGACACACATACAGCAGCTTGGAGGCCAGGTAGGCGCCGTAGTACCTGTCTCACCTGTCTTGGGAGCGAACTGTCAGATGGGACACACATACAGCAGCTTGGGGGCCAGGTACGAGCTGAACCTGGCCCCCATCTCAGGTCTAATGGGGAGCTTTACCATGGTAACACGTGGCAACACAGAATAAGGCTAGCAGCATTGCAAAACATGCAGGCAGGGGTAGCATGGGCAGATAAGTCAAGCAGACACTAAGTGTTATGTCAGCAGATATACACAAACTTCGCTGCACAACCTTGTAGACCTGTTGCCCACAATATAATCAGGCAAGTGATTGCAAACAGAAAACCCTCTGTGCACAATTACAGCTGGTAGGTACCCCAATATCTAAATGATAGATGCCTTGATGTTTGACAAATGGATGTCCTGATAATTAACCTGAACACCTAAAAACCATGAAACAATAAACATTGGGGTTCCATGCACCTTCACAGGCACTCTAGAGCAGTGCCCATGGTTTGCCTTAAAGATAGACACACTAGTGGCCCAAACATATGCAAACACTGGCAGATCACAAAATAATATATATTTACATATACAGGCCACTTTTGCTCAATTGCATGCACCATTACTTACATCTACTTTTATACTTACATTTCTAATGTGATGAAGAGTGACAAGAACAGGTTAATCATAATCCAAAAGGCTGACTGTCGTGAAACAGCACCTAAGTTCTTGCGCAGCAGCACCTCTGACACAAACTGATTGACTGCCATCTTGTGTTTTCAGTCCTGCAAGGCCGAAGAAACATAAAAGAACCAGACCACATCACCAGCATGCTAGCATGGGAGATCACTGAGTATGTGCATGCGATGTGTGAGCGCTTTGAGCCCTCCTCCCATTCAGAAATTAACATATCAGGTGTTTCATGCATGGTAGCACAAAGATGCCAGCAACTCCAAGCAGCATTTGTCAGTATGTCCATCAAATCACAAATTTCCCATGCTCTTTTACAATGGGTGTACAATCTGCATATTGAGAAGTGGGAGGCTTGGCTTTGTTTGGTCTTAATAGGTGACCATAACTGGATGCCAATAACTGGAAATATTACCTGCTCCTGGTTTACGTAGTATGATGTGATTTAGTAGTTTGGTGGTCAGAGTCCAGAGATAAATACCTTAATCAGCCATGGGCCAGATATCCACTATCTTAAAATCCACACATTTGTCTGACATAGCATTGCAATTTGAATTTTTTCAACTAAATTAAGGTGCAGGAGGGCACAGGGGCTTCACCTGTAACATGCACTGACTTCCTCATTATTAGGCTGCACCTACATCCAGCTGTGTTGTTAATCTGGTTGTGTTGGTTTATGACAAGGGACTGCTAGATGAAACAAGAATCTCATGCACCACATTAACACATGCTCAGGCAGGGGTTCACATTTGCTTATTGGATGTTTCCAAACCATCATTGGGCACTTCAGTTTATGCTTCCAGTCCACAAATTCTATGCAGCTGATTTGACAACCAATCAATGAACAGCTTTATTTTTGTTGTTTTTCATTGATGGGTCCATAGTTTTAGCCCATATATAAACAATTATGTTCAATCACAATGCCATCATCAGTAAAGCTCATGACATTTTCACATGGCAGAATAAGGCCCACACCTCCACTGTTTATTTCCATGGTGGGAAGTAGCTACCTGTCTGTTTGTACTTTTGTTCTGATGGCAAGTATGCATTTCAATAAGTGCTCACCATCCCAACCACTATTCTACACTCCTCTCATAACCTGGTACAAAATAGGAAGCTGCCACAAGGACTCCTCACTTATTTCATCCATGCTACCCATTTCACGATGGAAAAATAAAAACGGTATCTCTCCAAGATACAGCAATTACCTTCTTGACCACACGAAGTAAGGTCACTGGTTTACTACGCCAGCCATGCAAATATCAAGCCGTAATGCTGATCTTTGTTTCAAGTTGCAAACCTAACGTGACTCAAACAATAGCAGGAAGAATTCCTGAAATGTGCGTACTGTCCTTTGAGTTAGTTGAGTGCAATGTCTGCGTTGAGTACATTAAGTTAGCTTAGCGTGGCGTACCCCAAACTCAGCACGACCCCCCACCCACTCGCACCACGCCGGCCGAAAGCGAGTCCGCCAATCTAGTAGCACGCCAAAACCTCCAAATATGAATTGCCCGTCTCTTATGCGTCACATTCGGTGCCATGCAGAAGATGTACAGCTCGAGAACATTTTTTAGTGGCTTCAACCTACGTTATTCGCCAAAAGAGGAACGCGGGGCTCGCTAACCAATCCCGCATAAAAACCGGCTCATCCTAAATGAGTCACACGTGCAATTTTGTTTTGATTGGCTAGGCAATACGGAAAATATGATCAACAAGGTCCGTCACTCAAGATCACAATTAATTGCATATATGTGGGAAAAAACCGGTGAGTAAAAGCTTGGTTACGTTGGGTGCTGTCATCCTTTCCCGGCATTATTCGTACGTACCACGGAGCTGAATGGAGAATTAGATCCCGTGAGATCTTTGTACCCAATGGCGATTTAATCACGCAGTCCAGGGCAAGATCGCTTAAGGCAGGATCATCGTCGCTAGCAGCGTTTGGAGGGTGTGGGGGAGGCGGTGTGTTAACAAGTAAGTCGTGACATGGCGACGTTCCCGAGTGAGAGCGGCGCATCTAACCAATACGTGTTCAACCGTAAGCCGAACATTACAAGCCTCGCAGACCGGTGGTGCAGAACGACTGAATAGATGGCTGTGGGTGAGACGAGTGTGGCCACATCTCAAGCGCACCAACACTACTTCTCTCTGCCTGTTCTCCTGGTGACACGTGGCCCATGGTTGGAGCGTGGGTTTGATTCGATGCATATGGTTAGCATGAGAGACATCCTACTGATTCTGAAAATACCAAGCAAAATAGACTTTAGTAAAATGAAGAACATCACCTAGTGTCAGACACACTTCCAGAGGCGTTGGAAGACGGACACTTTCGTTCGCAAGGGTGTCGACGAGGACATTTCCTACGATGCCATAATGTCCCGGTATCCGCAGAAAGGTCACGTGTTGGTCGGTTGGCAGCGAAAACATTATATCATGGACATCATGCACTCTCGGATGGTTGAAATCATCGAGTCGCTGAAGGGCCTGCAGCGATGCCTTGAAGTCTGTGCGTATCGCAGACTGAGGAATACGTCTGACTCTGATATGTGATAGCGCTCGTT